CCTACCATAAACACCCAGTACATCAACTCCAATCCAACCAGATCTTGTCACAACTACCCCATCGCGAGTAAAGATAAAAAAGAACCATGTGTTGTGTCGTGTTTATGTCAAGGTGTTAATCCACAGAATCCAGAACTGTTACAAAGGTATTCTTATTATCCATACTACATGATGAAGTCAGAAATAGAGGAAATGCTTGCAAAAAGATTTCTGAGAGTTCCACAACATTATCATATTTTTAAAATTTGCAAGACAAAATACACCTGGCATTTAACAAGCAATCTTATATATCATATCTTCAATTTCATTAATATTTGACAGAAATTTTTTAATCTCTTAGATGGGTTGGTTTCTTTAGAAGGACTTATTCAACTGTCTGATGCAACATAAGTGTGAGAATGAATTGGGTTTTTGGTTGCTATAGCAATATTCCAGCAATATCATGGCTGCGAACACCAGGAATAGTTTTCAAACAATGTGTCCATGTGCAGAATTGAATCGGTCCTTCGCCATGGTGAGCAGACGCTTTAACCACTTGGCTACCCCACTGTCCCTTGCAACTTAAGTACTTTGTATGTACCTGTATATGCTGTTAATGTCATACGCACATTCTTAACTAAACCAGTCATTTCTGTGACCAGGTACAGTTTTAAGTGAGGAGGAGAATCGCCTCAAGCTTTTATGCCTCTTTTAGCAATATTCCAGCCACTGAACAGCAGCAGACACCCAGAATGGACATCATGTATTGTAGCCATGAAGGGAATCGAACCCTGGTCTTGGTCATGGAGAGTCAACAACAGCACTCCTTGAAGAGCCTTGAGATTAAGGGTACATCCTTGTAGGCAACAAAATAGTCGGAGGATTCAGTTCCAGGCTCTATAACATTAATGATGAATTTTCCGGTTCATCCTTGCAATAGAATCAATCTGTTGGCAGAAAATTAATCTTTCATTAAGTTATGGTTCATCTATACCTAGAGACCACATTAATATTTAATTACTAGACAACAACATTTTAATGTTTAACCCCAAAGGTAGGCCCCCATTCCATAATGACTTCAGCACTTCGATGATCATGATATACTTTAACACACACTTTTGACAATCATAGTACTGAGGTTTCCCTGTGGGACAGGATCAAGGTTGTCTGGGGACAAACAAGCCCAAATGACACAGCAGAGTCCACCGATCAGGGGCCACTTGCACAAAGCGATCTTAGCGTTTAGACGATCGTAACTCCCATTCTTTAACGTTGACATATGATAGGATAGTCGTAACGCTAAGATCGCTTTGTGCAAGTGGGCACTGCTGATAATATCAACATTTTGAAGTGACCTTATTTACAACAATCTTGATATTCCAACAGGTTGGTAAGGAGAGCAGTATAATAATGTATTTTATTCAACATACACTTTATTGTAAACATGTGACAATGTGAATGCAGGCATGTGTCAATGGTTTGTATATCACAGTGTAACCTTGTTCATCCAGAAGTGGGGTATTACAGTACTGACTATGTACCAAAATCTTCAAGGGCAATAGCTGCTGTATGAATTTAATTAATTAAACTCTCTTCAAATCACTATGAAATTACGCCCCAGCACTATTTCTTGACAAAAATTAAAGGAAAAAAAATAAAAAGAGTTCAATGAAAATGAAGTGATTCAACCTTCAAAAAGAGTTAGTGAAAAGATGCTTTTCCATTTTCGGGGGCAACTTGAACATGTATGCCAAATGGGTAACTCAAGAAATTTTGAAATATGGCTTAACACCATCACTATGGTGACCATTACTGCATGTGTACAATGACATGTATGTGTTACATGCTACCCAACACAAGATTACAGGGAGCATTTCACGACAAGTGAGTTGACTGATTTTACACCACGCCCAGCAACACTGCATATACAACAGCCAGTGCTTGATAGTGTTAGCTGTGACCGATGGCAACCAGAACCATCGACCAATCAGTCTATACATTGTTCCAGAGCCCTTTTGGCACTACGACCATTGTCCTCTCTTTCACATATCCTCCTAGGGTAGGATTCAGGTCATGTGGAAAGGCTTTGTGGAGTTGGTTTGGTCCTCCAAGGTCACCAACTATGAGTGAGTGAGTTTAGTTTTAGGCCGCTTTTAGCAATATTCCAGCATTATCACGGCAGGGGGACACCAGAAATGGGCTTCACACATTGTACCCATGTGGGGAATCAGACCCAGGTTGTCGGACTACTAAATGTGCAATGTCTGGCTGTGTCATCCCCTTTCAGGTTGCCTTATGACAACAAAGGGACAACTCCGGACTCCAGATTCTATTTATCAGACAAGGACAAGAGAACAGACACATGGATTCGTGGGGGGATCCAACAGTTTGACATATTTTATTAGAGCCCTCTGATGAGTGAGTCTACAAGATGCTGCACAAGACACACGTTGGAAATGTCTCAAACTAAAGATGACAAATCTAGGTCGCTACACAACGGAGAAGGACACAATAACTTAGAAGATGAGGAGACCATCTCCACACATGAAATGAATAGAATATAAAATGACTGAGATATATTACAATATTGCCATAAATTTTGATTGTTACACTGTTGGGCTGCTTAAACGCCTGATGTACAGCTGGTTGTAACCACCCTCCCAACCAAATAAAACATGGAGCAGCATATTATACACAGCCGACTTTTAACAACTGTCTTTAGATCCACATGGCTGTACAACATTACGCTGTGAAATAAACCTGTCGCATTTAATAATGCTGCTATTATACAAAGCAAGGCGATACACCCCGTCAGCCATTACGCTGTAAGACAACTGGATTGAGCCACACCTCTAGACACGACTTGCTTTTGGTTAATTTACAAATGGAGATGAGATGATTGAGTGACAAGGGCAGACAACTCCCACCACTCACACCTTGTCGGTTGCATCATTGAGTGGGTTTCTTTACAAGGTTTTTTTGTGGCAAGAGCACTAACCAGACCTTCTAGTGATAGTGTGAGGTAGATGAACATCAGCAAGTCGAAGATATCCACGAAGGATCTCAAAGGCTGGTCAGTCTTGTTGGGATTTGAATAGTCTTTCGTGTTTCTATAAATATCCTGATATTATTGGCAAGCAAGGCAGAACTGAGCAAAAACAACATAGGTCCTACTTCTCATAGTGTTCTCAAGTGCAGGTCTGAAGCTTGAATACTTACAATTCTTACTTCGATGTTTGTAAAAGTCAATTTGAACAGGAGTCTGCACTTGAGAGCAATACAAGGACTAATTTCCTATCGTAAACCCCCTCCTTTCCAGCGGCATGACCAGAAAGATGGCCTCGCCTTACAATGGGAACAACTATACAACGTTTGTTAGCATGAAAACATGAGTAACAATGTATACAATGATTGATCACGTAGCGAGGACATCTCTCTGAGCCCTGTCGCAGTATCCCTGTTACCTAGCACTAGTCTCAAGGATGATCCTTCCCCCAAATCTCTACAACTTAATGTTAAGGTGAGCTATGCTACAAATTAATGTCCAGGTGAGTTTAATTCGTCAACAGGTAATCCATACTATGTATACTGAATGTGTATGAAAAATACATTTTTATTTCTTTCAATATCATGTGATGCCTATGAATTTGAAATATAGTACCACTTAATGATATGGACGACAGCATAGGTAACGTATGCCAAAATACGTGAAGAAGATTATGGTCCGAGGATCTAGATGGATGGGTTGTGGAATAAGTATTCAATACTGACTTGAACACATGATATGCCATGCTGGAATTGAGAGTGCCTTTGAGCCACATTATCAAACATCAGGTTGAGATGAAATATTTACAAAGGTAGGTAGGTCATTGTGGTGACACGATGATTCATGAGGATGATGTCATAAAATACATGTTGCTGTTCTCTTTGGGCACATTGATATGGTATGGAATCACAGGGCCATATGGAGGGGCGACTGATTCAGCCTCTGAGACGTGGTAATGCCTGACAGCGCAATGGCGAGGTGGTGTTTACAATAACTAGGGCTATCCATTTGTACCACATCTACTGTCTCAATGCACCAGCCGGCGAGAGCATGCGTACGTACGTACAAGTTACGCATACTCCCTTTACGATGTATGGCGTCGGCATATTGTGAGCAATCAACAGGCTACAACTACGTGAACGTAACAAACTGTCACATCACATATCGTACAGTATTGCAAAAAAGAGGCATTCAAATTTGTTTTTTTACCATGTACATGGCAAAATGCTTGCAAGTTATTTAACAACTGTACTCCACCAACATGAAGATAAATAAATATAATTACAGGTAACTTTACACGATCAGATCATTCTTCAATGTACACGATGGATACGACACTGGCGTCAACATCGCCGGGCAGTAAATGACCTCCCCCACCACCCCACCCATTCCGTCAGACCACAGTATTCCCACTGTATACATAAGCAACAGCCTACATTATGTATATATGCAGGACTGGTTGCCTAGCAATGGGCTAGAAGAATTAACAATGAATCATTTGGATGTGGTTTTGCCCCCAGCAAAACTAGTGGTTTGTGAATGAGATCCCATTCCCCTCAAATTGTGGAACCCCCACCCACGACAGTAGCAGAATCAGATCTTCACAAAGTTTACAATTTCAAATCATTCCCCATTTAAATGCCAAATGAAATTCCCCACAATTCTATCACAAATTTTAACTTATCATATGCATATTTGATATAAGAAATTGACAAGACAGTTATTCCCTGGGTATATCCCAGTCCACCAAGGGGAGTAACTCTGCTCTCCTTCCTGGGGAATGCTGGGAAGGCGACAGCTATCACCATCTTCCGACTGTTCTGTATCATCATGTCTTCTAACCAATCGGAATCCCAGTTTGAATCGAGAAGCAGGTCTCAGTGACACTCATCTTGGTCACCTAGCAACCGACTATGGAGAAGTGACTACGGTTACACATTGTCACTATGTTGGATTGCCTCTTAAATTATCTTTCTTTTCCCCTTTCTGAATGTTTGTCCCTATCTCCACCCTTACCAGCTTTCATTCGGCTTCTAAAAGCACGCGAGGCTGTCCTGAAAAACAACCGAAAGTGCAATTTGTCCATTACAAGTAAAGAGTATTTGCGCTCATTTAAAACATTTGCACTAGACGCTCCATTTGAAGCCAAATACACGTTACAAACAAAATTTAAAGCAAAAGTGTTAAAAGTTTCACTACAACGTTGCAAAGAAATTTCCTGAAAACATTAAATGACAGACGGCTCGTATTTGTTTCAAGAGATTTTCTTAGATATGGAGCGAACATTAAGTGATTAAAAAGTTTGCGTCAAACAAACTACAACAAGTTTACTACATGTTAATAATGAGAACTAAAAGAAAGTAAACAATCCAAACACTGCTACTGCCACACCGTACTAACATACTTCCATAGCAATGAAACTCGTCTTTTATGGAAGTTGTTTGAAAAAAAAAACGTTTTCGAAGATTGATGGAGTACAGTGTTAAGTCTACCATATAACTTTAGTGATATGGTCAGGATAAAAGTTATATACATCACAGTCTATATCAAAATATGGACATGTATTTTCATAATCAGTATTTTTATCATTTTGATCAAGAGCAGGTTTTTTTTGACAAATTTGTGAAAAAATATATGTTCCTACGACAATATTAGTGTGAGCATTGGCAGTATAGAAACTGATAAAGTACTAGGTGACTAGCGTTGTCGCAGGCGGAGCAAACAAACACTACAGCTGCCTCATGCTCGCCAAACAGAGTGAAAAACTCAAATTCTGCTTATGGCATATTGCCCAAGACAGCTACGTAGCTGGAGGAAAACAATACAGAACTAGAGATTTATAAAATGCTGCTAAGAGTACTTTTGGGCAATGACTACAAACAAAACAATGTAATCCTGCAGAGCTCCCTCCACAGATGTAGATACGCATACATTACTGATGGGCTGCGTCCACGCTGTGGTACCTACATCCTAGAGGCGGATTATGGATTTGCATGAGGATATCGATCGCACAAACACATAAATAAAAACACTCACATCAACATTAGAAACAGAGGGACAGAAAGTGCCCCGGGAAGAAGCTGGAACACAGGGCAGCCCAGTATCAAAATATACAAAAAGCCACATTATCCAACTACATCAGAAAACGACCATGTGCAGTCAGTATAACAAGACGCCAGCTGACACCTATCGCACATCTGTAAGTTGGCGGCGGACAACGGACAGAGAGGGTTGTCGGCCCACCGAGTCACAGATGTGGGCGGAATCAGCTCGCAGATATAAATATATAACAAGTCAGATATTCGGCACTCCTCGCTCGATCACTCATTCACCCCACTTCCACGGTGGAGTACATGTGCACCAGAGAAAAAACAAGCTTGTGGAGCACTGAACTCAGAGAAATAATCTTGAAGCCAAATGCTACATGTTATCTCAAAACAACTGTCAACATCTACAGATCTGGCGGATATATGTTCGAGGGCCCACACATGGCTCACGTGGCTGATGATGACAGCTATTTCCTCACCAATTGGTCCCAATAAGAATGGCTGTGAGATTGTAACCGAGAGATTCATCACAATCATCGTTAAGAAGATTACATAGCACTCGGGGCAGAGAGATAGGCTGGAAGCATTTCGGAAGAATATGAAACCAGTAACAAAGTAGAAGGGATTAAACAGAGGTCAGTTATGATGTATATAGTTATGCTACAAGCAATCCTTGTGCCACCGCCGCCCTAGTGATACTGCACTAAACATGACTTCTTCATTTACTCTATATTAACTACAAATAACATCTCTCGTAACGTAGCATCTTGTGATCGGCAATCAGAGGCAGCAGCTCACTCTTGCCCTTGTGACACTTGCATAATAACAGGATGATCTTGGCATGTACAATACCCTGGGTATTTTGGCAATTTATCAGAAGACGATGTTAGCAACATAGGAAGACAACTGCAATAATATATGAATATATGTGTGTATATACATATAGAAATACATAAACGTGTGTATCACATACAACTCAAATCATGATCCCCCCCTCCCCAGTTTAGTAGTTTAGTGGGGCACTGTGGCACAAGGGTTGCAATGCTAAAGCAGCAAGTCTACAGAGTTGGAAGTTCAGTATTGTCAACAGCGCGGCTGCCGGGTCGGACGGACGGACGGACGGTTGTATGGATGCCGGAGACAGGTGAGGACCCTCATTTAATAACAGGTCAGTTTGACGGAGACAAGACATGCAATTGAGGGCAGGACAGTACAGTACTGTTAATGTTAAGGATAAGCAAAGATGAGCTACTTTACTACTACTGGCCAGCTGCATTGGCTTGAAGACTATTTCTTCATCATCAAACAATCCTGATGTCTCAATGTTGAAGCCTGGCTGTTCAATATGACTTGGATGAGGGAGACATGGCAGAGCCGACCACGTCTACAAGCAACACAATGTCAAGAAAACTTGAGTAGTCTTGCAGATTAGGGACAACTGAAGAAACTAGTTGACTAGTCTACAACAGAAATGAAACTGAACTCATCAGAGCCTGAAGTCTGCTGCTGGAACACTTCCTAAAGATTATGAACATGCGTGTCTAGAGAGCAGAGAAAGCCGGGAGCCAGGGCTAATGTACGCAAATAAAGAAGGTCAAGGTCGTCAAGTTCCCTAATCCTGCAGTCATAGTGAACATCCAGGCCATACTATCACTGGCACTACCACCTGTAGAAGACTCCAATCGCGTCCAATGTACTAACATATAAATAATAGAATAATTTAGGTTTATTGCATGAAATATTCTGGTTGGTCGGCGTCTTTTTCAAAGCGTTTTGCCTCCTCCTGCATAGATTCTTTAATCTTTAGGATAGCGGCAGATTCGTTTTGCTCCTGAAAAATCGTAAACATCAAAACATTGAGATAGGCGACGTACTAGGGCACATGCTGTAATGATTGTTAATGATGTATGACAGGTCTTACGATGAGGCAGCTCCCCGAATGGGCAGCGATGAGTCACATGCGATGATAGGCCTGGTCACTCATACTGATCACCGGCCAATGAGCAGGTCAGATAGAGCAAGTAGTGACAGTCAGCGCCATCTGGAGGCAGCCAGTCAGCTGGTCTGGTGGCAGGCAGGTGGCAAGGGAGCGACTGTTGACTTACCACGGAGACAGTCTGTTACCAAATTCCATCATCAAGATTGTTTGAGAGGGGAGCAATGCTGAGTATGAACAGATCAATCAATCAACAGGCAGATGCTCTAATTAGAAATGAAAAGAAACAAAAAGAAAGTTTTTAAAGAAAGCACCAGGCGGTCAGAAGAAACATGCAATGCCCCAACACCGTGTCTGAGAAAAAGAGTGAGGATAGTAGCTGCTCTAGCCAGAAGCAAGGGAGTAACTCTGGCCAGCTCAGTTGGCATACAGGCAGCAAGGCGGACGGACGTACGGACGGACTGACGGACCCCGGTGCCAACTCTCAGAATAGGGGAGCGAAGGAGCGAGCGAGCCAGTAGGACATACATGTACACGTGCTCACAATGACAGCTGACTTACATTGTCTTGGTACCCAGCCAGACCATATCCCATGTCTGCCGTGCTAACAGGTGGCATATCATCTCTTGGTGTTCCGGGACCATTTGCAGGTGAGTTCTTCATTCCATCCATATCCCCTGGAACAGACATGCCTACAAAATAACATACAATGTGACCATTCAAATTAAATATTCCAGTCACATCATTACAATGAAACACACACCAAGGAGGCTGAAAAAAGAAGAAAGAAAACATGTTTCTCTGGAAATATGTCAACATGAGTGAGTGAGAAAACTGGTGAATGCAGGTGTACAGCTGGTATGCAAGTTTCCTAGATGTTATATTTTTATTATCTGCAATAAAGTCTACACAATTTGCTGAAATATAGAAGCAATAGTCAAGAGAGCAAGACTCCACAGCTCGGTGTGTTCTTGTCTGCAGATACATGTGACTACTTGCGCCTTACCGACCGCCTCGGTGGTGTAGTGGTTAGAGCCTCCGCCCGGAGAGCGGAAGGTCGCGGGTTCGATCCCCAACCGCGTCATACCAAAAGACGTTAAAAATATGGTACTTGTTGGTCCCTGCGTGGCGCTCGGCATTAATGGGTACATCAAGGTCTGGTCGGCTCGGAGTCAGTATAATGTGTCTGAGTGGGGTATTCATGCTTCACTGCAGCATGGTATCTCAGTGGGCTAGCACTATAAAACCAGCTTCAGTCTGGGCTAGTACAAGCAGTTGCACCTACACATACACACGCATGCACGTCGTCATATGAGCGAAATATTCTCAAGAACGACGTTAAACCCAATTTCACCTCACCTCACTTGAGCCTTACCTAGTCTTACCTTGGCTGTTACCCCACACTGCTTAATTAAAGACATGTAGAAGACAAAGAAATTCAAACAATATTTAGTAAGACTATTATATCATAATGAGGTCCACTGATCTCATGACTTACCATTCATAACTGGAGGCATCTCCCCTGGCCCCATCGGGCCCATCGACCCATCTGGTCCCATTGGAAACTGAAACAGAGACAACGCCCACATGATGAGACCCAGCTGCTAATTGTTTCCAGAAAGAGGGACCTGGTCACATGTATATATAGAGAATCTCACCCAAGTGTCTTCTGATATCAAATATATCACCACGAGTAGATAAAGTTACAAATATCTTTGGCTTGCTGAGGATACTTTTACTTTTATCAACAAGTGCTGATATTTGATATCCGAAGACACGAGGGTGAGATTCTATCTATCATCAAAAGTCACTCTTCATTAGTTTTCAATGAAAACTGTAATCTCTGAACATGGTCCTGCCATTAGACTTGCAGTGCAGCGATGTCATACCATTGTGACATCATCAAGTTCTCCTAGGAGATATCATTTGATCTCATACAGGCAATATCTCCTGTGGAACACAGTTTTGGATGATAATAGCATGATTTCTGTATCTTGTAAAGCATTCCTCAAAATGATTTATCCCCCATCACCACTGTCACATGAACCTTGGGCACGGACTGGTATTATAGTTTAAAAGTTATTTTAGAAAGGTGTGAATTATCTCCCCTTACCTAGACAGTTGTTCAATGAGGACATCAACGAAAATATTTTTCACCACCAGTCGAATGTGAATTATCTCCCCTTACCTAGACAGTTGTTCAAGAAGGACATCAACGACAAATATTTTTCAACGCCAGTCGAATGTGAATTATATCCTCAATAAAACATACCATCTAATGTGAAACCCTACTGTATTCCAAACCTTACTATCATTGTACTTACCTACATGTACGATATGCAGGCTATATAAACTATATACAGCCAGGAAGTCCAGTGTTTATCCCACGCCAGGTTCCTGGCCATTCTACTCACCCCTGGCATCCCTGGCATGCCGCCCGGTCCTCCAGGCTTCATCATACTGTACATTCCGTCTGAGTTGCCTGCTTCTGGCGCTGAAAGCATGTGTGGGAGGTCTTTATATAAAGACATTGCAATCAGCATGCAATGTCTCGCATATAATCTGTTTTTTTAACCACATTCAAAAACCGACAAACACCACAGGTCTACAAATATACTGAACAAAAAGTCAGAGATCATGAATAGTTTTCGGATATGTTTTTTGCAAGTAAGGACAAGTGAAACAAAATTTTATAGAAATAGCCCCAAAAGTATTCATGATCGCAAACAGTTTTGTTCATTATATATTACACAAGGAAAACGACACCCACAATGGAAAGGCTAAGTCCAGCAACACCATCCAGCCATGACAGACAGATCACCTGTTTACCATAGAAAAAAGAACAGGAGTAAGGCCTAAAACAAATTAAAAAATGTTGTGGTTCCGATTACCTGACTGACCCTTAAATTCTGGTGCTGACCCTATTTTTCTTTTAAAGGGGTATGAATAAATTAAGCTTTCAGGTACCATTGTTGTTTCCTGGCACCAATGGACATTGATCATTCTGATAGAGAAAGTCGACATGATAACTGCAAGCTTCATTGAATAAACAATAACACATTGATAAATGTGCTATTAGTTTGTACTTTACTTCTAAAAAAAATGTAAAAAAATAAAACAAAATAAAATCCTACCTACCAACCCACCCTACATTTAAAAAAAGTGTTATCTGAACCACAACATTTTTTTATTTGGCCCAACTTCTTGTAAAAGTGACTCGTATCTACTCGAGACCAATGTACACAAAATTGGCGTAAACTTTAGATAATTTGTTTTCAAGCTACCAAATGTTAATTTCCCAAAGAAAATAAATGCAGTTTGATCTTAATCGATTGAGTTTGAAGCCAAGAAATGATCATCTTAGCTTGGAAATCTCTGACTTTAGCTACTCATCTGAAATCAAAGTCTTCGACATTTCTTTTGGCTCTGATACATTTATTTGTTAGCTTGTTGATGCTGCACTCTAGCTATCAGACGGGGCTCTGCAAATAATCAGGCCAGACCACCAGACAATCCAGGGATTGACATAATGTGCAGTGATCTACACAACTCCGATACAATGAGATGCGTGAACCAGCGAACCTGACCACACAATCCCGTTAGTCGCCTCTTACGACAAGCACGGGTTGCGGATTACCAGTTCCAACCCTAAAAGATCAACTGAAATTATGTCATGATGGTTTGGGCAGGATTTGAAAGTATTTATGGAAAACCGGAAAGAGATGAGCACAAAGTGGGCTGATACTGACCTTGTGGACTGGGCATGATGGGTGTACCTGGGGGCCCTGTTACTGGGGGACCCTGGAAACACAAACACAGCATACAGACAGAGAACACCAGGAACGTCTCATGTAACACTGAACAGGATCACCCATTGAGTGACTGCCGGAAACATGGCTGCTAAAACCTGATTGCTCACTTAAATGTTTCACAAAATGTTCATGTAATAATGGGTTTCCTTTTGTATGAACTGTCATTCCACTTCACAGTATACCAACTATTAATGTCTGATACTGTTACAAAATGTCAAGGTCTATCCACTGTTAATGTCCAACACTGTTCCAGTTTCCCCACTGTTAATGTCCAACACTGTTTCAGTTTCCCCCACTTTCAATGTCCAACACTGTTCCAGTTTCCCCACTTTCAATGTCCAACACTGTTCCAGTTTCCCCACTGTTAATGTCCAACACTGTTCCAGTTTCCCCACTGTTAATGTCCAACACTGTTTCAGTTTCCCCACTTTCAATGTCCAACACTGTTCCAGTTTCCCCACTTTCAATGTCCAACACTGTTCCAGTTTCCCCACTGTTAATGTCCAACACTGTTCCAGGTCAATGATCTGGTCCAAGTTACTTAGGCCTTATTTATGAAAGACGCAATCTTCATCCTGCTTGTTACCGATACCTGAGTTAAATGTCTATTTATGATCTAATTATCTAACCTAAAACATGATTATTTTACAAAATGATTTTTAAGCAATAGGTCCACGAAAGAAATCTTTTCAAGTTGTTTGAAGTTTCTGTGCATGTGATATATCAGTGATGACAGGTTGCAGAGGTTCGTGTGTTATCTACATACAGACACCAATCTCTGCTTCAGAACATATCTTATCTTCCACATCTTACTTCTTCATGTCAATTTCTTCATAAAAACATTCATCATCTCCCTTTTCCTACTGTTAAACAAACATATATTTCGTTTACAAAAAAACAGGATGTGTAAGATCGAGGTTGGACCAGGAAATTAATGCCAAGAAATACCAAGAAAGCAAACAAAAACTGGGACAAGTTCCCTCCGTGGGAGATTGATAGGCAGGTAACCCAATAGGTGGATGATACCATACCCTAGGAATGTCACAACAAAAAGGTAAGCTCTTAAAAACAAGTTCCAAGAAAGCATTTAAACGCAAATAACTGGTCTTTAAAGTATTCCAAGACTAATGGATTCACATATTAGTGTATTTTTAGCTGTACCTGTCTCTGCTGGAATTACCTGCTTCACATCCTCTGCATTGCTCAAAAGAGGTGTCACAGATTCTGAGATTGTTCCTGCAGGTAGGGATTGGGAAAGGCAGGGGCCATGGGCCATTTTGCACATTAGAATAAAAAATGGCTTATTTTGAGTGAGGGAGTTGGGTTTTACGCCGCTTTTAGCTTTATTCACACAATAACACGGTGGGGACACCAGAAATATGCATCACACATTGTACCCATGTGGGGAATGGAACCACTAGACTACCCCATCGCCCGATCAAAATTTTGAAGTTTATATTGATACAAGGGCAGTGGCCCATTCTAAATTCAGAAAATGTCTAATAATCCTGAAAATGGCCCATTGTGAAAGATCTCTATCCCAGTCCCTGTGCATGGTCTTGGTTAAATAGGATATTAATTTTTGTTTGGAAGGTATTGTTTAGAAGTTGATGGATGACAAAGCTGACAAATATAGTTTTGTCATAACAATTCTGTATTTATAATGTAATAATGTTTCTGTTTAGTTCCTAAGATTTGACGGATGGGATAACGGATCTGTACTGCAAGCACCTGTACTTTAACTTCAACAGTTCAGGGCAAAATGTACTTCATCACACTATTCATGGGGGTCGAGCAAACAGTATTTCTTAAATAATGCTTTAGCAAGGTGTTATCCATAAATTTCCTGATTAATTTAAAATATTATAATTTCACAAAAAGTATATTGTGGACTTTACAGATCTGATCATAAATTTACGAATGTCTAGTTTCACAAATGCCTCCCTGCATTATCCTATCTCAAAGGCATTTCCACAAATTAATGACTGATCCTCCGTTTTGTCATTTAGCCAGTAATGAGGCTAAGTTTTATAGGAGTTAGTAGGAATCAATGGTGCACGATGTTGCTGCTGTAGAGAGGACAGGGAGACGTGCTGTAAGCACACTCATTAAAGCACTGAAGTAGGTACAAGAAAATCCTCTCTCGTACATATTACTGAGCAACAGTTAGGCTTCACTTTAAGTTTGTTTTTAAGGGTAATGCAATAGAAGTTTCTTAACAATTCCTGGAATTGATACTTACATTATAACTTCCTGGAGATGCTGACGAGTAGTTTAACTGAAAACAGCAATAATGTATTTTTATTAAACACTTAAGAGCATATATCGTTTCAGACTCTGAGGGTGTGGGTTCGAATCCCGGATGGGACTCAACCCAACAAAAGTACTAGAATCTGTAGAAAGTGTAATCCCAAATATAACATATGTTACATCTGACCACTTTCTAAATGCCATTGTGCATTTATATATTCAGCTTCATTCAGGATTTTTCAGCCAGAGTGCTATCCAAACACTGAGTTTGGATCAGGTAAAAGGTTGCATGACAGCATGACAGCATGACAGCATGAGCAATCTGGACATGATGACCCATTGTGACCACCTGACCCTACTTGGGGGAAACTAATGTCAAGCATTAAGTACAGGAGACATGCTCTCTCTGTACCCACACATATACATTTGGCTTTTTGTTTGGTTTGGTGGCTTGTTTAACACTGCAGTCAGTCAGTCAACAATTTTACAGCTATATTTCAACAGTCTGTAAATAATCAAAGCTGGATCAGACAATCCAGTGATTGACATGTTGAGCATAGATCTACGCAATTGGGATAACCAAGTCAATGAACCTGACCATCCGATCCTGTTATTCACTTCTTACGACAAGCATGGGTTGCTGAAGACCAATTCTAACCTGGATCTTCACAGGTATACATTCTGCTGGTACCAACATTTATGAACTATTGATACATCAAAACACATCATGTATGCACCTGGTCCTGTGTCATCTCAAAGACATCTCACTTTAAGTCCACATGAAGAATATTTCTCACGTCTTGACACAAGGTTGTGATACAAGACTGTGAAAGATGGTGACCATCACCCACGCTGAAGTTGTACTTACTGATGATGATGTAGGTGGCCACGGTCTGTTCCCCTGTCCCCCTGGTCCACCTGGACCCCCTGGCCTGAAACAGTATGTACGTACATTAGCCAGGAAATAATTGGGTATCAAGAAAGGTAGGTTTCACTGTATATATTCAGATATAAGCTTGAGTCTATGGGCCTGACCGTGGTGGTAACAACAGTCTTACAGGTGCAGTCCACACATTCATACTCTGGGTACAACTACTCACTATTCAGAGACTAAGCGTTACCGTGGTGGTAACAACAGTGTTACAGGTGCAGTACACACATTCATACTCTGGGTACAACTACTCACTATTCAGAGACTAAGCGTTACCATGGTGGTAACAGTGTTACAGGTGCAGTACACACATTCATACTCTGGGTACAACTACTCACTATTCAGAGACTAAGCGTTACCGTGGTGGTAACAGTGTTACAGGTGCAGTCCACACATTCATACTCTGGGTACAACTACTCACATCGACATTGGTGGCATTCCTGCAGGGCCTCCTGGCCCCATACTTGAGTTAGGCGGTGGACCCCTCATGCCACCATAACTTGGTAATGAGTCGTAAACCTGCAATAAATAAAACATTGCTGTCATCAAACTTTACTATCCACAAACCATTATTTAAAACATCTAATCCAAGACCAACGTCTGCAGCCAAAAGGAAATGGTCATTTGATTTTAAATGGAATTTGACTAATAACATAGGTGTGTGGGTGGGCGTGTGTGTTTGGGGTTGTGGGGGACGGGGGGAGGAGGAGGAATAAGTGAGGTGAGGTGAAATTGGGTTTAACGTCGTGCTTGAAAATATTTCACTCATATGACGACGTGCATGCGTGTGTATATGTATGTGCGGCTGCTTGTACTAGCCCAGACTGAAGCTGGTTTTATAGTGCTAGCTCACTGAGATATCATGCCGCAGTGAAGCATGAATACCCCACTCAGACACATTATACTTGACTCCAAGCCGACCAGTCCTTATTGTACCCATTAATGCCAGGCACCGGGCAGGGACCAACAAGTACCATATTTTAACGTCTTTTGGTATGACGCGGTCGGGGATCGAAGCCGCGACCTTCAGCTTTCCGGGCGGACGCTCTAACCACTACACCACGGAGGCAGCCAGGAGGAGGACTGACTGACTGAGTTTAGTTTTACGCGCCGCTTTTAGCAATATTCCAGCAATATCACGGCGGGGGACACCAGAAATGGGCTTAACACATTGTGCCCATGTGGGGAATCGAACCCGGGTCTTCGGCGTGACGAGCCAACGCTTTAACCACTAGGCTACCCCACCGCCCCGCCAGGAGGAGGAAGAGAGGAGAAACGCATGTGTGTATGTGTGTGTGGGCATGTGTGTGTGTGGGCATGTGTCCATGTACATATGGTTCTTAGTGACACCATAGAGCAGTTTAACATGAATATCCACTAAAACACAGAGTGAGTGAGTGAGTGGGTGAGTTCGGTTTTACGCAGCTTTTAGCAATATTCCAGCAACATCACGGCGGGGGACACCAGAAATGGGCTTCACACATTGTACCCATGTGGGAAATCAAACCCGGGTCTTCAGTGTGACGAGCGAACGATTAACTAGGCTACCCCTTTTATGTTGTGAATGGGGATCGAACGCTGGACCTTACACAGGCAGGTGCAGGCACTTAATCTACTATACCAGATGCATTCTCTGAGAACATGGAGACTTAGTGTCAACTTACTGGGTTCATTGGACCGGGCATCCTGCCCCCCTGGGTGACTCATCCTCTGCATTGGGCCCATACCCGGGTGTCCTGAAACACAAAACATAAAAGTTATCTCCCTTGAAATACCTCACTCAGGGTTAAAAGAGTTAATGTTTTCCATAATTTAGTCACAAAACCAACAATAACAGAATCAAATACAAGTTATTTCTCTTGAAATATCCAGTGCAGGTTTAAAAGGGTTAGTTTTTTTCCATTATTGCCAAAAAACAAATACATTATGGGACATGTATTAAATTCAATTACACAGCATAGACGAATAATATGTGACATTTTCACTAGCCGCCATCTAGAAAGGCAACCGACTTGACAAAGTGGTGTATAGTGAACAAAGCATTGTCCCATCTTATCAATTTCACAATCTTGCAACACTATAGATTAATATGCAGTATAATAACTTGGATAACACTAAATGACAATGTTGAATATCAACAAATCATTTGTCCCACAAACAAGTGTTTACTGAGTATTTTACATGTGAACTGCTGTTTTTTCCATATTCCATTAGTTGCCAATTTTACCCTTGTGCCAGCTTTTAACAACAGCTGCAGGAGCCAATATGCCTAAACAACAGGACCATTAGTATGTACACGCTAAAACCTGAGTGTTTCTAGAAAGAGCTGAGAACAGTGCCCACCAAATCGGGCAATAAAATGAAACAATCTGCTCAGTATTAAGCATATAGACAGACAACAATGGCACCAGTCGAGTCATTGGCAGCCTGGTACCACACTGCAGTCCTCTCCCCATTACTCTCCCAATGAAATTGCTCCAGCTACAAAGTCCCTTCTAATCTTCAGATATAAACACCACAGTTCACATTTCTTTTCCGTTCGTATTCCGTCAGATGGAAGGAAGTAGTCTCTGCAATGCAGTCAGCCCATTAAGATGCAAACAAGCCTAAAATGACATGACCAAGTCCTATTAAAACCTGAGGACTTCCTTAACAACAGGCTAAGGCTCGCAACACGTGACCATCATTTGTTTCAGTGCCATCTTATAGAATTACACAGACACCCAGCATTGATCTGACTTTCATGTGTATATATCAGCTCCATTGAATATTCTTCAGGGAAAAATTAATAAAAAACCATCCTTGAATGAGATCCAATACAACTGTGGGGGCCGTCGCCGGATACAAGAGACGGTGATCTGCTATGTTTATTGAAGGCCCCGTCTGGGTGATTGCCATCCACTAATCTACAGCAAACCAATTACCTTCCATGTTGACATTTGAGCATAAATGTCTATTTCCCGGGCTACAGCGGAATCTGTAGGGGACAGGTGGGGTGAGCCGACACCAAACAATTCAACAACATCTCTGAGCTCTGAGGGGTAGCCTGTTGCACACAGTCAGTTGGAATGCTCGTGTGCCGCCTCTCACCCCACCTGCTCCGTACACTGCAGTCATTATCAAGGCCATGTACAGATCGTCACGAAGCACTTCCACAATGTGTAGACAGGCTTATGCTGGATGCATCAACAAAGCTGAAGTCGCCCAGTAAACTGCTATCACTATGGTATGTCGCCATTAGAGGTAACCAGAGGCCAGTCAGCAATCATCTGTAATCTATATGTAGGATTACCCGGACTTGGCCTATGTCCAGTTGCATCACTGCTCTAACTCTCACCCAGCCTGGCTTCACAGGAGCATGCAGATCAGGACATGTCGCCTGGTGATGAGCACCTGTGTGTCATGCCAGCCTGGGTGCATGTCCAGGTGCTCCCACGGGTACACATACACACAACTCGCAGGATGTCATGGTCATGTAGCAGCGAAATGGCTTGCAGCCAATAGTTGAGACTTTCATGAACTTCTTAAGTGGTGAAAAGTGCAACATAAAATGCTAAGAAAAAGCACATGGGAGTGTGTGTGTAATATGTTTGGACAAAATGACAAACTAAAGTAACTTGCTGTAAATGAACATGTGCTTCTTGTCAGCTTTGTTCTCAAGGGCTTTATCAAAACGGTCATCAAAGGAGCACATTTTTTTATTTTTTTCAGTTGGAGTGAAGTATGAGAGAGCCACAGTATGCACATGAGGCTAAGAGTACCACAGTGTTGTACTGCAGGGCAAGTTGACAACAGTGTTGTACTGCAGGGCAAGTTGACAACAGTGTTGTACTGCAGGGCAAGTTGACAACAGTGTTGTACTGATGGGCAAGTTGACAACAGTGTTGTACTGATGAGCAAGTTGACAACAGTGTTGTACATGAGTGATTGTGCCAGTGTTGTACACACGAGGGATTGTGCTAGTGTTTTACACACGAGGGATTGTGCCAGTGTTGTACAGGAGTGATTGTTCCAGTGTTGTACACACGAGGGATTGTGCCAGTGTTGTACAGGAGTGCTGCTGGCCTTGTACAGAAATGAGTGACCACCACTGGGTCGTTCTGGGAGAGGTCAGGTGGGTAAGCCACATCCTATATGCCCCCTGGAACAACTAAACTGATTACCAATTCCCCTGGTCAACTGTGACCATCGATAACTGCCCAAGTGACGGTTGATAGTGCCGGAGAAGGGGAGAAAGCCGTGACCTTTCTCAGGTCTCTCGCCATATTACCCCGACTTAGAGGCAGGTGAGAATACACTTGTCTAATTAGACAGTGAAACCCTGGACACACTTGGTCATGGAAGTGTCCGTTCGGTGACATTAACCAGCTGATGTTGTCTACTCCAGCTGTGCAGACAAGTCCCGTAATTCACATAGATCTGTTTGTTCAGCCTGTGGCAACACCTAAAACATAACAGACTGGAGCCTCGCATATAGCTTTCAAGTACCTTATTTCACGTCAGAATGGATTCACTCTAGAGGTGAGAACGTGAATGTGTATGCCAAACACACATGGAAGTGTTAAGCCTTGAGCACGGCGGTGGTAGTCGCAGCATGTGAGAGGTGGATGGAATTTACAGGAAACTTCATGACCACCTGTGTCTCCTTTTTCACCATTCTATAGACGCAGATCATGGAAGGCTGGTTTAATCTTCACACACTCCTACAGCAGTTGCCCAGCACATGGTCCTACGTGTCCAGATCTGGAGCTGAATCTGCTACCACCAGGACCACAAGTGCCATTACACAAGATTGGAAATCTATGTCCAATTTCCTGCTGTTGCTTCGACTCATGACGTATGGGAGACATGCACACCGATGGAACAGGACTTAACAAAACCACAGGACAAAGTGGCAACAGGCAATTACCAACAAGAAATGGGCAGTACGAATAATTTCCTATCCCGAGTGGAAATGGGAATACATTCAGCACTGGTTATGGAACGGAGCTGCATGGGCAAGTCCGCGGTGAAAGGTTTGTAAGGAGCTGTGTTCTACTCTTCCAGTGTTGTCTGATGTACAAATTGAATGTATATTTAATCATACCCTACTGTATAAACTGACTGCACGTCAAGTTCAATGAATTTCATACATGTACTCCACCAAATCAGTCACCTTGAGACAAACATCAAGAGACCATTTCAATCAGTTAGTTCTATCTGCAATTCACGAGGGTTGAAAATACAGCCAGTTGCCATTTTATTCAAACATCAAAGATGCAATGCTTCTGGATATGAGTCTGTTTCTTTACAATGGAAAATCTCAGTTTTTGAACAGAAACTTCAATTATTGTTAACTGCAATTTGGTATACTACCACATATTACTTACCTATATTCACAGGTTGACTGACATGAACTATGCAATATATCTGGGTTCTGATTTTTTTTTAAATGCATTATTCTTCCACAAGACAACACTTTTCACAGTAAATGAAATAGTAGCTGCATTTTGGACAAACAAATCTGAAGCCTTTGCATGGAAACCATTTTCCTTTCATCTTTCACATGTAAATGTATGATGAATAACCCATTCTAAATTCATTCAGGGGAGTTGAAATGCTGTCTATTCCAGTAATGTCCTTCACATTAAATCTCATAACATTGTCACATGCATCTCCAGCCAACAAAATAATAAGTTCCTATTCCAATTTGCAAAATAACAATAGTTATTAACTACAAAAAAATATTATTTTTCGTGCAACTCCATGTTACATTGTATCAGGTTACTCAATATTATCAAATGCACTGTGAAAAATATAATTGCTTTAAACTTGTGAATAATGAGCAGTATTACAGAACCGATTAATTCGAGCACGAGGCTGGTGTTTGTCACAACAAACCAAGGCAGTTCTCCCTCTTCACCGAAGCTACAGCCGTGATATGTCACTGTGAGAGGTAAACCTAGTTTCACTACAGGACAGCACGTAATTATTGAAAAGCCGAGAGTTATCAATCTGTCAGGCTTCTAATAACACTAGGTACTTGAGAGCCTCCATGACAGATCGGCAAGGCTCAATTTGTTACCAGAGCAGTTATTAAATAGCAGTGTGAGATCATATGGTTTTCATAAAATCACTGTCTAACAATGGACCGGAGGCAGAGCCTGGCCCTTTATGAGAAACAGTCATCCAATGTGAAACTAGAAAAAGACATAGCAGAATTTCAGCATTATTCATATATTGCAAACAGCTTTGAAAACAGGGCATCTATTTACATCGAAACTTGGTATACAATACTGCCATCTCTCCGACAGGCTAATAAATCACATATTGAATGGCCTGTATTTAAACTGCTCTTGGATTGAACCATTTCATCAAATGTAAATTGGTCTTCTATTGAAATGCTGCAGCTGTTTTAAATAAGACATATTGCATGTGATGTATGCTGTAATAGTCTGTTTGTTGCAAGTAAATTTCCAATAAGGCAGCTCTTGCCTTCACAAAAGCTATTCTCCTTGCAACTGTTCTGAAGAAATCCTCTCCAATCATTAATCAATTTTTCAGTGTGTATGCTACACTCTATGTAAACTGTCGGAGTACTTACTAACACTGTATCGTGAGTGACATGAATGACGTGTTTTTGTTGGAATTCATCGCCTGAACCAGCATTATCAAGACAACAGCAAAACCATACCTTGGACGGGGTACCCCAGGTTCCAGGCTTTCATAGTCAAGTGCTAATATTGTGGGCCTACAA